GGATTAAAGCACCCGCTTAGGCAGACACAGGGACCAGGGTTCAATCCCCAATGTGCCATGCCTGCCCCGCCTCCCCATAGAGATGGGGCATGGTGGCAGTAGCCTGTAATCTCAGTGCTTGGGAGGCTGAAAACAGGAGGATCACCATGAGTCTGATCTGTGTGGTGAGACTATATATATATATATATATATGAAAGGGGCAGCAAGATAGCTCAGTGGACTAAGCGCCTGGTTAGGCAAGTGCAGGGACCGGGGTTCAATCCCCAGCACAGGCTGCGTTGGCCCTGTCCCTGGGCACACTGAGCCGACCACCGAGACCGGGCATGGTGGCACACTCCTATAATCCCAGCGCTGGGGAGGCTGAAAACAGAAGAATCACTATGAGTCTAAGTTGTGTAGCGAGACCCTATACCAAATACATAAAAATAAAATAAAATAAAGAAATTTACCATTTTGGCCATCTTATTTATACTTTTTGTAGTGAGAGTGGGGCCAGGGCCTTAAACACACTAGTCAAGTCCTGTAGCTCATTTCGGTCTAAAAGTGTGCAAGCCAGGTGTGGTGAGGCCCGCCTGTAGTCTCAGCACTGGGGAGGCTGAGCCTGGAGGATCACTGTGACTTGAGGCCAGCCTGGGCTGCACAGTGAGGCCCTGTCTCAAAATAAATAAAATAAAGTGAAGTACACAACTGAGTGGCACTGAGAAGGGAGAGGACCCTGGGCCCTCAAGGGGCAGAAATGAGTTAGTCATCGAACGTGACACGAGGATGGTTCTTCATGCACACTGGGGATTTAGTGTTAGGTGAGACGAGTGTTTGTCCTGCAGTCCTGGGAGTGGCCACCCTGCCAAGGGACAGATGAGGAGAGGTCCCTCCTCTGCAGCCAGCTGTGGAGCCTGTGGGTGACTCCAGCTTGCAGTTGTTTTTGTTTTGTTTTGCTTGAGACAAAGTCTGGCTATGTAGCCCGGGCTAGCCCCCAGCTTGCAGCAGTGCTGCCTCGTGTTCCCTCACCCGCAGCTGCAGGACACTGCGTCGCCCAGCAGGGAACCCCATGCCTAGCAGCCCTGGCTCCCTTTCAGCATTGAGCTGCGTCCCTCCAAAAGACACCTTGGGGTG